GAGCCAGGGTGGCCTGACTGGCATTCTCTAGGTCCTCCCTGGGGAGGACCCTTCCTGCCATTTAACTGGCTTTAGGAGATAGTGGGAGAGCTGTGAGGAGCTGAGGCAGCAGCTCAGGGCTGGAGGGTGAGGGCACCATCGCTCCTCATCGACCAATACTTGGGTGGGAATGACCGGGAGTTGGTACCAGCTTTCAGAGACATTCATGGACATACTCAGCTTCTCTCCCAGGTCCCACATCTTTCACTGTCAGGCAAGTCTCCACGTCTCAACCTCTCCAGCATCTCCTTTTAGTTCTTTCGACCCTATTAGGATTTAACATTCCCCATGTCCTGGAGAGGTTTGATTCTGGGGAAAACTTTTAGGAAAACTGGACACTTGCTTTTGACATCCAAAGACATTTTTAAGTTGACATGAGTTCCTAGACAGACACAAATGGGAGGCCAAAGGAAAGGTATCTACAAGCATCATAATCTGGGCAGTTCAACGTGGGGACTGAAGCCTAAGTGACCGGTGCCAGAAAGGCAGCTCAGCCAAGGCCAGGCCTGGAGCACAAAGAGGCGCTCAACCTGCCTCTCCCCAAACCCCAGAAACATGGTGGAGGCTGGGACCCTTAAAGCATGGAAACTCCTGAATCGATTTGAAAAAAACACACCCAAATACTCATTATATCCCTGCCTCAGGCCAGGCACCAAAGATTCCGAGCCCTGGTGTCTGTCTTCATGTTGGAAACGTGTCCTATGGAAGCAGATCCATTTCTCTCCTCAAAGACCAGCAACTCTACAGACCGATCGGCCTCATCCCGAGCCTGTTCCTGCACTGGCATGGCCTCGGCTGCATTCTCTAAAACCATTTTTTTTTTAAAGCCCCACTGTGGTCTTCTTCACACAAAATTCCATTCAGATTCCTTCCAGCTCGGACACCCTAGGCCTGGGCCTCATGCGTACGGCCTCCTTCCTGTCAGGACGTCTGATGCTGTGCAACACGACCCATGCTGGCTTGAGCCTCCACACAGTATAGTGCCAAAGGGAGTCAGCCGACCTCACCTGAACGGTGTCCCTTAGAAAAAACACTCCACCGAAAGGCCTGATGTCGGAGCTGGAAAGCCTGGGAGCAATCAGAGACAGTCCCCACTGGACACGTGAGGAGGCCAAGGTCCAGAGGGGAAAAAGGCTTTCACCCAGGCCTCGGGTCCAATTAGTGATAAAACCAAGACTTTTGTCCCCTGCCCTCTGTCCCGGTAGCTATCTGGTCACACCCTGTGCCTGAGCAGGCGGCTGCCCACACCCGCTCAGCTCAGGGGAGTTGGAGTCTATGAAACTCCCTGAGTGCTGCTGTTAAAGGCCCATCAGGAGGGGAAACCAGTCGTAGAGAAGCCTGTGGCACAGGTGCTCAATAAATGCGTTTTCTATGACAAGCAAAGGATCCTCCACGTCAGGAGTCCTCCCAATATTCATTATGGCATCTGAGCAGTCTCCCTCTGATAATATTATCATTCCTCTTCAGCCAAACCACACTCTTCTCCTCCTTCACAGCCTGGTCCAGAGTCTCCCCTACCCTGAAATCTTCCCACACGACCCCTCCTCACTCCTGTACCTGTGAGGGGTGTCTGGCAGGTTCACTTGTACTTGTAGTTTCCTCTTGCCACACCCCTGGGAGAGGGGGCAGGCCTGCTCAGCGGCGGTGGGGCTCCCCCAGGCTCGCAGGCCCCCGCGTGGGCGAGTGCTGTCCACTCACACCTGACAGCCCACTTACGGGACTGAACGCTGAACGCGGGGCTGCGGAGGGGAGGGCTGCCGAAGGGATCTGGCCACAATCTGTTTGACAAGAAAACCACTCAGCCTTCCCTCGGTCACTGGCAGGAAAGATGGATTTCCTGGTTAGATTAGGTACTTCCCAGCCTTTGACAAAAATGAACACAACACAGCCAGGCCACTCAGGGACTCGAGTCTCTGGGCTTTCTCATGCAATCAGATACCCGGGTCTGGGAATGGCAATGCTGAGGGAGAAAAAAGCAAGTTGCAGAAGCACACAGATCACTTTATATGGTTGCATATGTGTAAGTGCAAATGTGCAGAATACAGTAATTTCGATATATTTGAGGTGAGTGAGTGGAATTGGGGGTAGATGAAAGAGACCTTTCACATTGTACTTGGTATGTTTTGATGCTTTCAAACGTCTAGACAAGAGTGCATGTATACTTAACTTATGCAATCGGTAAACAATGCAAACTGTCCCCCAGTGAGAATAGAACTGCGGTGCGGACCTAAAAGACACCCTTTTCATTTCCTATCTCTGGGCCGCTGCCTCCTCAGGCGCCTCCAGGAGCAATAGGCTGGGGTGATGGGGGGGGGGGGGCACACGGGCCAACAGAGGAATTCCAAACGACCACATGTATATGGAGCCACATGTCTGCAATTCTAACAGGAAGGCTCTGGACCAAAAGGAAATTCCCCTTCAGCAGACAAGCAGTGTATGCAGAGTTGATCTGCGGTGGATGTGTGCATTTTCTAGAGAAGCAGCCCTTCCTGCCAGCCCCGCACTCCCCTAAGCAGCATTAGGGACAGGGCCCTTGTACTGCTCCCTCTGCAGGGCAGGGACCAGGCTTCCAGCCTCCACACTGCAGAGCAGGGTATCGTGCTCCCTCCCTGCAGCGTGGAGACTGGGCGGGGAGGGGGGGGCGGGGGGAGAGAGGCTGATACTCTGAGGACCTGGGCGTGAGGGGCCCGGAGGCTGCAGAGAAGAGCCCTTCTGCTTCCCAAGGCCAACAGTGCAGGCCCCCGCTTTCCTGGGACAGCTGGCTTCCGCCTGGCCTGCCGCACCTGGAGTGGCTTAAACCAATGCTGAGGGCTGGGCTGCACCCCAGAGCTCCTGACTGAATCAGTCTGGGGTGCAGCCCAGGTAGTGGTGTCGCCCGTCTGTTCCAGATGCCTGGCTCCCCAGGTGACTCGCACACGCAGCCAGAGTGAGAGCCCCTGCCCTAGAGCTGGACGATGTACTTGTCAGTGGACAGAGCGTCAGCTTGCTGGGATTTCTCCACAGCCCTCTCTTCCAGGGCGAGGAGCCAGGCCGGTCTGCTTTCCGTCTCCAGCTTGTTTTTCTCTTTCCAGCTCTCCCGTGACTCCACCTCACCCCCCTCAAGACCTCGCTGGCGTGGGTGGGCCAGAGCTGAAGACAGGAGGCTGCTGCCCTCCCAGTGCAAACACCATGCACTCCTGCATTGCCCCCAGGGCCGGCGAGTGACCTGCCAGCCCCTGGTTCACAGGTACTCAGTGCGCTTCTAAGATCCGGCCTCTCTTCTGCTCACATTTCCCATAACTAACACGGCACAGGCATAAGAAATCCTTTTGCAAGATAAAATCATTAACCCATTTTTACTAGGTTTTTCTTAGAATTGTTTATGCACTTCCAGTAACTTATTAAAGGTCCACACTTGGTAATCTGAGGTGCCCCTCTGTGGTTAAATACCCATGAGAAATTATAATTCAACTGGCAGACCTACCACACTGAAGATTGGACAGCACCCCCTCCCCTCCCCTGCCCCCCACCCATCTACCACCACCACGGCTTGGCAAGCTCATCATCGGGAAGGGACATGCACTGCTTAAAAGAAAAGAGTAAAACTAAGTTACACAACACTGTGTTGTAATGGAAATAGAGAAATAGCCTCTAATTAATCGAACTCAATCACTTTCCTCTATTAGTATGAGTACGTATGAGCTTATCTTGTTTGTTTTTGAAATGTAGCAAGTGTGTGTTAGGGATGTTCCAGCAATTCCCCACCCTCTGTTTAAACTGGAGGATTCAAAGCATAGTTCTAACAAAATCATACCAATAATTAACCAGTAGGGGAAGCCAGAGCTGCTGCATTGTGACTTTTGTGAAACTAAGTCCTTTTGCCTTCACTGGCCCCTCCCTCCATTAAGGGAAAAAAATAAAAGCCATCAATATACCAACATATGAATTATATTTCCAACTGCACTGGTGAAAAGATGAAAGAAACATTTTCTTTGAGCTGAAGTGTATTATTTTCCTTCTCGTTTTATAAGAGGTTGGGGTGATGTTTGGCCTGTGAAAGCACTGTGGGCCTGTACTTTCTGCCTCTGGGAAAAGTGGGCCGTGGGAGCCGAGACCCACAGAGGGGGAGAGCTCTGCGCGGTCCAGGAGACGCGCCTCCCCTCAGCTACAGCCTGATCCTCAGAGACTCTGAGGGGCCTCTATGTGCAGGCGCAGCAGAGTCATCCTGGAAGGGCCACGTGAGCAGGCCTGCTGTGGCCCTCAGAGGGGAGGAGGAGGGAGAAAGAGTGGAGGAGGGAGGAGACCAGACACATCACCGTGGCCCTGGAAGAAGATGGTCAATGCAGAAGGGAGGCACGGAGGGCGGTGGGAGCTCACAGGAGGAGACAGTGACTTTCCATTGGAGCAAGGACGGACTCCATCAGGGAGGAGGTGGCTCTTCCGTGGGGGCCTGTCCCACGAGAGAGGTGCAGAACGAAGGTGGAAAGGAAGGGACGCAGAGATGTCCAGGGCACACTGAGGAGCTCAGTTTGGCTTGAGTATAAAACAGGAGTCAAGGAGCTGGGGGCCGCGCTTGGAAAGCAGAACGTGTGTGTGTGTGTGTGTGTGTGTGTGTGTGTGTGTGTGTGTGTGTGTGTGTGTGTGTGTGTGTGTGGCAGGTGTGCCGGGCAGCAAGGGGCAGAGGTTCACCTGTAGGAGTCTCAGAGGCGTGGGGGCTGCTGGGCACTCCAACCAGGAGTGGTAAGGCCAGAGCCACCATTCTGAACGGTCTACCCGCCAGCAGGAAAGACCCACCTGGGAGAGGTGAGGAGAAGCTCTCCCAGGAGCCTTGGGAGAAGGAGGAAGGACCTGAGTGAGGCGGAGGGTGGGAGGCTATGGGAGGTCAGGAGAGACGGAAGGCCTGGGCCGTCGGGGAGCAGGCAGGGTCTGGGCTGGCCTCAGGCCTAGGGACGCCTGGAAGAGCCGAGCAGGCAGGTACTCACTCTCTGTTCCCAGCACGGGAGGAAGGGAGCTCCGGGGCCTCCGGGCCTTCATCTCAGGGGCCTTGGCGCTCTCGCTGGCGGGGGCATCTGGAACAGACGGGCGATAACAAACATGAGTCGGTAGCTGCCCAAGGAAAGGAGCAGAGGAGGCATCGCAATAAAAATCCCACCCCAACACCATGACAGCCCCCTCCCCCTTCCCTGTCCCTCTCCCAGGGCCTCAGTGCCTGCCCTGCAGGCGCCTGCGCCTGGGCCTCCTTCCACCAGAGCACCAAAGAAGGAGTGCTGCTGCCTGGGGCCTTATAAATCAGGAAGAGAGCGCAGCAGCCTGGCAGGATGGATGGACAGGCTGTCCCTGGTGAACGCTTTCCCCTCCACAGTGGGCACCTGCTGCCAGACATAGCATCATGTGGGCAAGGTGGGGGTGGGGGTGGAGGGTGTGGGGGGGGTCGGCGCCCTCAGCTCACTCTCCCATCCTTCTCCTCCACCGGGTCTTGACTCCCTCAGAGTAAACATTCTGGCTCCCAGAGTTCTGTTCTATGTGGAGAGGCTTCTTCTCTCTCTTTCTTTTTTTTTTAATTTGACTTTAATATATATATTATTGATTTTTTTTACAGAGAGGAAGAGAGAGGGATAGAGAGTTAAAAACATCGATGAGAGAGAGACATCGATCAGCGGCCTCTTGCACACCCCCTACTGGGGTTGTGCCCGCAACCAAGGTACATGCCCTCGACCGGAATCGAACCTGGGACCTTCCAGTCCGCAGGCTGACGCTCTATCCACTGAGCCAAACCGGCTTCAGCTGGAGAGGCTTCTAGTACAGAGGAAGGAGGGAACCGGTTCTGCCCCGGGGCTCACAGTCTGGAGAGGCTTAGAGCCTCTGATTCCCTGGCTTCCTTCCACAGGTGGACACTCCACACCAGACCAAGACCTCCGAGCAGGTAGCCGGCATGCTCACCCGCTCTGGCCTGAGCCTGGAGCCATTGAGGACCAGGTGGGCTGTGGCAGCAGCTTTCCGGGCAGAGCGGTATTGCTGCATGAGGCCTGCACAGATCCTCAGGCCCCTCTTCATGCCCCCGCGGTGCACAGTGTGGGTGATGCCAGGGAAATGCCCTGGTCAGGGCAGCAGGACATGGTGCTGGGCTGGGCCGGGCTGGGCACAGAAGGGCCCCCCTGGGAGGGGGGATGTTAGGAAGAGGAGACTGGATGTTAGGAAACCGAAGGGAAACCAACCAGAGACCCCGATAAGCAGCAGTTGGCCCACAGCTATCACTCTGCCGCAGCGTTTCCCCACTGGGAACGCTCTTCAGGGCCCGTGCGGGGAGGGAGCCTCCCCTCAGAGCCCCTTCCTGTCCATCCTTTTCCTGCTCCTGAAGAGAGGAAATGTGGAGGGAGAGAGGAGGGGGTGGGGCTTTCCAGCTGAGGCAGCAGCCACATTCCTGTGGCTTGGCTGGGGAGGAAGGCCATCTTGCTGTCTGGCCTCCTGGGAGGGGGGGGGCAATCCTGGCTGCTAACACACGCTCTCTCCTGAGGGCCGAGGGGGTGGGCATGGGGAGCACGGAGCTAGGGGATTCTTGGTGCTCCCATCTCCATGCCCTGCTCCTTCTAGATGGCACTTAGGTCTTTCCTGCTCCAGCATGTGGATCTGCCCATAGAAACCCTCCACACCCTTCAGGCTTCCTTCCCAAGCTCCTGCCTGCCCCCCCCCCCCCCCCCCCCCCGCTACTAGCTGGGTAATTTAGGGGTGGAGGCCTGGGGCAGGCACTGCCCAGGCTCCGGAGGCAACAAGGCACACAGGTCCCAGGGAGTTGAAAGTGAAACTGCAGGAATGATGAGGTGGGGCGTCAAGCAGCACGTGGCAGGGAATGGGGCTGAGGGAATGAAGCAAATCCTTCACAGCAGCACGTGATGCCCAGCCCCTCCCCTGCCTCCACTCCTCACTGCCTCATCTTTCTACCACCTTCAGGAAGAGCAGAAAAGCCGCCCACGGTGGATCGGGGTCCCCTCTGTCTATAGCTGCCACTGCGCCTGTCCTGCCTCCTCCTTGGGTGGCCCACACCCCAGGGTCCATGTGGACACGGATGGAGGAGCACAGAGCACCATGGGAAGAGGATGACTTCGTTGTCTCACAATGGTTTTCTCCCAGGCACAGTGGTCATTCTCCGCTGCAGCACTGTCCTCGGTACACAGCTGTCAACCTCTGTGGTTCTCAAGCTTGGCTGCGCATCAGAAGTACCTTACGGAAGCATCCCAATCCCCAGGCCCCGGTTTACTGGGCTCAAAGAAGAGCCGGAGAGCATTATGCTAAGTGAAATAAGCCAGTCAGAGAAAGAGAAAGATGCCACACGATCTCACTCATTTATGGAGTATAATGAACAGCATAAACTGATGAACAGGGACAGCTCCAAAGACAGAGAAGCATTGATCAGACCGTCAAACCTCAAAGGGAAGGCAGGGGAGGATGGGGGCAAGGGGAAGAGGTCTACCAAAGGACTTGCATGCATGCATGTAAGCCTAACCCAGGGACACAGACACCAGGGGGGTGATGACATGAGTGGGGTGGGTTGAGGGGTTAATGGGGGGATGAAGACACATAAATAAAGAAATTAAAAAAAAAAAAAAAGAATGCATGCCGTGTGCTCTGGAGAGCAGAAAGACAATCGTTTATGAATCGCCCCTCCTGTTCGTCACATTTCCTTGCTGCCTTCCAAATCTGCTCTAGAACTCTCCACCTCCAGGAAGCCCTCCCTGACCAGCCCCCACCGTCTGTTTCCAGCCTCTGCATCTGTCTTCAGCTCAGGCGCTGGCTTTACACCGTGAGTGCACTCCCCTGCCCTGAGCTCCAAGCCTTGTTTAAGAAGTTCTCTGCACGTTATCTTTCCATCTGGCCATGAGGAAAGGGCTCATTTTCCCTTTCAAACCAGGCTCATCCCTGACTTGGAGCCTCTCTTCCCTCTGCAGCCTCACCCCCACCCCATGGGGATGTGCATGCCCCACAAGCCGCTAGACCTTCATGAGAACCGCAGCAAGGAGTGGGGCTGGAAGGACCATGGCTTAATCAAAACCAGCTCCGTGCTCACACAGTGGCCCGGGGGATAAAAATAATAGTAATAAAAGTTTAAGAGCAGCTTGGATTTTCGGTCTATTTTAATCAGTTGCTGATGAAACGGAACTCCATTTCTAGGTCTGGACCTCAGGACTGGAGTCCGTTGCTGGTCAGGTCGTGCCCAAAGAAGCATGGGGGAGGACGATGGCAGTGAGGGATGTGAGGGCCTCCATAGAGTGAGGAAGGCATGTCCTTATATGGACAATAACTCACCCATTCCCTTCCACTCTAGCCCTGGACTCAGCCCTCCAGACTCGGTCTCTGTACCTCTTAAATCAGGTTTTTTTTTTACTATCACCTCCAAAGACCCCCTTGTCGTGGTTACCAATGAGTTCCAGCTTCCCAAATGCCATGGTCAACGCCCCGGCTCATCTTATTCTACTTGGCAGCATCATTTGATGCACTGATCTCCATCACTCCTTTCTTATCAAAATGACCACCATTGGCTTCCGGGACACCCCTCTCTCCTGGATTACTTCCTGTCCCTCTCATTGAGACCATCCCATCTCATCACCTTCGCAGACTTCTGTCCTGCCCTGCATCTCAATGTTGGATTCTGCTTCCTGCCTGGCTCCATCCACAGCCACTCCTTAGAGACCTCATTGGATCCCAGGACATTAAATGGCCTCCTATGTGCATGGTTCTCCATATCCTGTCTCCCATCTTGGCCTCTGTCCTCAACCTGGATTAGTCTAAATGCCATGTGACATGCCCATCTGGATGCCTCATGGGTCCACATGCAGGGAACTCTTGCTTGCTGCCGCAGCCCCTGCGTTCTAATCTCAGTAGGTGGTACCACCACTGATCCACACACGCTCCCCACAAACACGAAGCGTTGCCTTTGACTTCCCTACCTCTCCACTTCCAATTCACCGGCCAATCCTATCAGCCCTACCAGCAAAATAGATGGTGAATCCGATCACTTCCCACTTCTTCCACAGAGCCTAACCTGCCACCGTCTCCTGCCTGGACCATTTCAGCCACTCCCAGAGAGTCTTCCTGTTCTCCCTCTTAACCCTCTGAGTCTGGTCACCACATGGCCACCTGAGTGATCCTTTAGATGTTCAGCATTGTTCCTCACTTAGAAGAAAATCCAGTTTCCTTGGTCAGCCTACAGGGCCAGGCAAATCTGGTCGCTTGTCCTCCTCAACCTCATCTCCTGCCACTCTGCCCCTTCTTCAGGCTCAGCCATCTGCCTCCTTATTCTTCTGGGAATGTCTCAAGCATAGTCTCACCTCAGGGCTTTGCTCTCACCATTACCTCTGCCTCTGACACTCCTTCTCTCCCCTCCTTCAGGTCTCTGGTCAGATGTCACTTCCTGAGAGGCCTGGCAACCATCGTCTCCAAAGCAGCCTCCCTTACTCCCATTACCCCACTTTGCTTTTTGCAAACACGTGGCATTGCCTGAGAGTTTATGACATATCTGTTCATCCTCATTACCGTCTCCCCCTCATGAGAATGTCAAGTCCCTGAGAGTAGAAACTTCTGTTTGGCTCACTGCTTTTAGCCTCAGCTCCGGGAGCAGTGCCTGGCACAGAGCGGGCACCCGCATATTTGTTGGATGAGTGGCAGTGTGGGTGCCCACTGGAACGATACCTCCTACCAACACGTGCACAACTCTCCATGGTCACGAAGTCCTCGGTCTCACCAGCAGCTGAGGCCAGATGCCCTTAGCCAGGCAGGGGACTGAGGTGTCCTCTGACTCCTGTCTGGGGATTTTGGCCTACAGAAGAGCTTTGCTTCCTCACCTCTTACCTGGGTCAGAATAAGAGGAAATGGGTCACTCAGGCCACATATGACTTCCCCACAGGGAGGGCTGTTGTTGGAGAGTGGACACTGCCATCTATTCACTAGACAGGAGGTCATAAGGCTAAGTGCGTTACATGCTTGTTCCACGTTCAACCATACCATTCACCAATGTTCAAGTGTTTTTGAAACACCGATTTTGTTTTATAATGTGCAGGCTTCAGAACCAGGCACACCCAGGTTCAAGTCCTGCCAGGGTATAACTCCTTTGTGACTCCCTGTGCTGAGTGGCTCGAAGGGTGTGTGTCGAGATCAGAGACACCCAGAGACGCTGCACCTCCTGCCTGCTGCCTCGGTGACTGGGGAAGGCTGCTGCCTCTCGCCGAGCCTCGGTTTTCTCAGTGAGAAAGACGCTGCCCTTCTAATGCATAAACTAAAAATGTACAAGTCGGGCCTTGAAGGTCAGCCTTTTCTCCTCCTGGGGGAGTTTTCTGGTAAGTCCTCACCTCCTGCAGCCTCACTGTCCTTCTGCGGTACAAGCTGACACTTGCTTCGGCTGCGCTTGGGAGGAAGGGCAATGTGATCACAACCAAGAAAGTGCACAAGAGCACCAGCGCCCTTTTTCTTTGAGAAAAGACTCAGAGCACAACTAAGACAGTCCGAGCTGCTGTCTCATAAAGGCTACCTCCCTTCCCCTAGGAGAGGGAAGCAGTGGTGTGGTTAGTACAGAACAGCCAGCGAGCCAAGGTGGTTTTATGAGGCCTTAAACTATATCATTACATTGCCCACAGATGTACAGTCTTAATGGTGTCTGGCACCGGCTGCGTGAGTGACAGGGCTGTGGGGAGTGGGGCGCTGCTGGGCGGCAGCGGGGAGCCTGCCTGACCGGAGCAGTTCTCTACCCTCGGGCAGCGGGACCTCACGGCGCCTTGGGAGGAATGCAGGACAGAACTCTCCAGAGATCAGGCAGCAGCTGCAGGTGAGAGAGACCCACACTGACTGGGTCTGACAATGCAGTCACGGTTATCTCACCTGGCAAGTAGTTCTCCAGTGTGTTTTATTTTTTTTAATATATTTTTAATTGATTTTTTACAGAGAGGAAGGGAAAAAGATAGAGAGTTAGAAATATCCATCAGCCAAAGCCGGTTTGGCTCAGTGGTAGAGCGTCCTGCGGACTGAAAGGTCCCAGGTTCGATTCCGGCCAAGGGCATGTACATTGGTTGCAGGCACATCCCCGGTAGGGGGTGCGCAAGAGGCAGCTGGTCGATGTTTCTCTCTTATTGACGTTTCTAGCTCTCTATCTCTCTCTCTTCCTCTCTGTAAAAAATCAATAAAATATATTAAAAAAAAAAAGAAAGAAAGAAAGAAACATCCATCAGCTGCCTCTTGCACGCCCCCTACTGGGGATGTGCCCACAACCAAGATACATGCCCTTGACCGAAATCGAACTTGGGACCCTTCAGTCTGCAGGCTGACGCTCTATCCACTGAGCCAAACAGGTTTCGGCTCTCCTCCAGTGTATTTTAATTTGTGACTCATTTTGAGAATCCAATGTAAAAAAACTATGGATCCTCTCTTCCAAAACTGCTCTCATCCACAAACACAAAATTGTGTCCATAATTCCAAAGGGCACATGGATCCACTGGGCTCTCTACGTTAGGGCTGTTGCCTGGGGAAGTGGGGACGCTGAGATCAGGAGACAGACCAAGGACAGGAAGTCTCTTCAGCCCACTGGAGCACAGCGGGGCAGGAAAGCGGACTTCGGTCCTTGACTATTTCCCAGAGGTTGCGCTTGAGGGAAAAACAAAGCTACCTGTGGCCAGAAGCCCACCTGCACGCAGGACACCAACTTATCTCCAAGTATAGCAACAGGGAAAGCCCAGGCACGTCAAGGGGCTGCCCTTTGTCTCTTTGTCAAAACAAAACCAAACCCAAGCAGCTGAGTCAGTCCAGTATCTTTGGCTGGTCTACCTCAGATCCCTCCCCTTGCTCTCTTCAAAGACCCAGCTCCCAATCTGCAGCCTGAGGCCAAATCCTGCATCGGCCTCCTTGCTGGAACCAGAGATACATAAAGGTCATCAAGATTAATAGAAAGAGTTAGAGAATGAACTAGAAAGAGACCAATTTATGGGCAAAAATGCCCATCAGCCCCAAAACTTTTTAACAAGAAAAGAATCCCTAAATGTATCCTGTAGGGGAAAAGGGAGCTTTATTTTGAAAACCAAGTTTGGTTTTAAGAAGAAACCACTTGCGGTTTCTCGAAAAGGTGCTAACGTTTTGCAGATAAGGAGAATGAACTACGACCCTGATTCAGCTAGCAGTGTAAATAGGACCCAGAGAGGGATTTCCCAGGCAGATAATCTCATTAGCAGGCTGAACTGCCTTACAGATTGGCTGGAACTGGCTTGAGTCCCACGTGAGTAGTGGGGCTGTGAGGAATAAGCTTCTAGGGTCAAGTTCCCAGAAAGACTATTTTTTTTTTTTAACTACAGCACCTGTCTAGAAAGAAGCAGGATCTACCTGGGTGGGTGACAGCCCAGGTCACACCTGGGAGTAACTAACCATGAGCAGCAGCCCCTACTCAGAGCCTCAAAACATGTGCTCCGAGGCCTCTCGGAACTGACCACACTCCTTCACCCAGCCAATCTGTTTCCTTAGCCTCAGAGCCCTTGCGGCAAAGACATCCACAGAACTCTGGGTGGATGCACAATATTTGACAACTTCAGCTTTCCTGTTGGTGGTGGACAATTTAATTTGTGTTGCCTAAATTTGTGTTGAAAATTTAATTGTGTGTGAGCATTTTAAAAAAGATTTTTCTTTTTAAGACTCTTTTTTATTTCCTCCTCTCCCATTCATGATATATCATAGATCTCAGCTTCTGTGACCAAGAAATCAGATGATAAAATCCAGAATGGGGACAAAAACTCTGCATCTCAAGGACCGACAATGAAATGGGTTGTAATTTCCGAGTCCGAGTGATCACATTCAGCATTCAGAGCAGCCACACTGGTTGCCTTCTCTGGACACCAGTTTTAACAGTGCCACGATAGGTTACTCACCAGCATTTCAAGAGCAAGAAATTGTCCCCCTTCCGCGCCCCCCCCCCCCCCCCCCGCAAACTACGTTTTTAACAGTTCCAAGCAAATAACAATATATAATAAGAAAGGGTACGGGACTGAGTCTCGAGTGGGTTTCCGGCTCTGGCCCGGCCCAATGGGGCCAGGGAAGCTCACGCAGGATGCTGTCCCTCTCTGACTGCCTCAGTGTTCTATCCTGTAAAAGCAGGTGGTAGCCTGAACCAGCACAGGTCTGATCCACTTCCCAGTCCTTAGTTCTAAATCACGCACAGAAGGAGAAACAAAGCCACAATCACGCCGCCTGCATTCCTTTAGGACAGATCCAGCTCCGCACAGCCTGGTCTTGCCCCTTCATCAGGGAAACTCCACACAGCCCTGGCAGCCTCCCTGTCCCGCCTCCTCCCCTCCCTCTGCAGTGCTACCGGTGCCTTTTCCTTCCTGCAGAGGCAGTCCTATCCCTGCAGAGTCACAGCCCCACTCACCTCCTCCACGCAGCCTCCCCACAGGGACCCCCGCTCTGCTCCCTACTCCTCACGGGCTGTCCTGCCAGCACGGGCACTTGTTTGTGGCAGCTTGTAAAATACTCTGCAGTCACTTTCCTGTGGGTGTGTCTTTTCTCCTCTTGCCCTGTGCCCGGGTGGCTTCCCCGTTCAGCAAGGTTCTGGGGGTGGGGCCAAGACTGGGGAGAGGTGGCAACAAGGTGAGCTCCTCCTCCTCCCAGCCAGGAGAGGGGCTGAGGCCACACAGGACCCTCAAGCAGGGCCCCCCGCTTTCCTTCCTGTTGTGTTTTTGCAAAAAGAGACTTGACCCCCACAAAAGGAATGCCTTAGGTAGTGATGGTAGCCTTGATGCCGTTCTGCTCAGGGGCGGTGGAAGGAGGGTGCGTGGAAGGTGGGGTTACATGATGGCGACGGGTGGGCACCACCTACCGTCCACGGTGACTTGGCAGGAGCACTCCGCCTGGCCGGCGCTGTTCTTGGCCACACACTTGTATAGGCCTCTGTCCTCCGGCAGGGCCTTCTCAATGGAGACGGAGCAGAGGGAGCCTGGAGAGGGAGAGGAAGAGTGGTTGAGTGGCCCAGGTATGGGTCCAATACCTGCCCTGGAGCCTGGAGCACAGGAGGCAAGTGCTATTCACATAGGCAGCCTCAGGGAGCCCAGACGTCAGAGGCCTGGGGGAACCAGTCCCTGGCCCAAGGAAAGCCAGGGCACTTCCTGCTAACTCAGATCCCAAATAACTGGTCCCCAAACATGCTCCTTCCGAGGCCCCTAACCCTTTCCAGAGAGTTCTCTTTTGAAGACATTAAAGGAGGAGGAGGAGGAGGAGGAAGAGAAGGAGGAGAAAGAGTAGGAAGAAGAAGAGGAGGAAGAAGAAGAGGAGGAGGAGAAAGAGGAGGAAGAAGAAGACGAGGAGAGGAGGAGGAGGAGAAGGAGGAAGGAGGGGGACGGGGAGGTTACAGAAGAAGGGAAAGAGTTGTTTCTGCCATCTTGCACAATGAAGGAGCAGGTGGACACAGGCCGCGCCCCTGGGGCTTCTGGGACTTCACCCGGAGATAAGCAGTAGCCGGCGCAGGTGATTGCAGACCTGTGTTTGGCCACTGTGGGAGCTTGTGCAATTTACAGCAGCGATTCTGGGAATGCATCTTAGAAAAAAAGGTTCTGAACAGAGGGGTTGGGGGGAGTCCCTATCCAGCAGGGTACTGGCCTGTGGGGAAATCTGCCTGGGATCCTGGAGCTGGTTTTTCAGGAACGGCATCTGAACTGAGGTGCACTTTGGAGCTGCCTCCCTTCAGTGGAGGTCTTCTGGTCACCTCAGACACCTCAGAGAGCGGAAGAGATGGCTTTCTATCTCCCGCCCCAGCACTCCTCTTCTGGCCTGGTTGGGGGAAGGAGTCAGGCTGAGCATTCACAGGAATCTGGGGTCTGGTCCTTACCCAGTCTGGGTCTCTCTAGGCTAGGCTGTTCTCTGGGGGACCCCCTGAATATTGAGCCTGCCGGGCCAGGTAGGAGGACAGCAATCACTTCCCTAGGTCCTGTGTTGAGATTTACAACAAGCCGAGAGCATGATGTCCTGTCCACAGCTGCCCCTGCTGTCAGGGGAGCAGCCATCATACAAAGGCGGGGGGGCGGGGGGAGCCATAGATGCATGCATCCTACTGTCTGGAGCAATGGCTTTGGCCACCTCCCTGCCTCTGCCCCTGCCACTGCCCTGGGTGGGCAGAGCTGTGTGTATGTGTAAGTGGCATGGCCAGAAGGGAGGTCGACAGGCACAGCTCCCAAAGGCCTTTAATCTCAAAAAGTACCCTCCCCTCGATTAGACAGATGCACAGACTTGACCAACAAATACGAGGATATTCAGAGAGAGAAAGGACGACATCAATCCTGCACAGAGAGTCTCCCTAAGGCTGGGAGAGAAAGCAGAGCTGTAATAGCTGCCTTTACTTCTTGGCACCTGAGTCTGCCTTAAACAGGGACACCTCGGTTCTCATTCTCTCTCTCTCTCTCTCTCTCTCTCTCTCTCTCTCTCTCTCTCTCTCTCCTGCACCTCCCCCCCCACCTCTTCCTTTTTCAAGAAAGCACCTTTGCTCTCCAAGGGCCATTCTTTTGCCTTCTTTCCTGAGCCCATGCAGCTCAGCTGGCTCACTTTTTCTAACTGTGACGTTCCAAATAACTTGTGCTTATATTTGAAGAAACAACAACAACAACAACAACAACAACAAAACACAAAAAAACAAGGAAACTGCAGTCTACTGACCACCTGAGGCAGGATGGCTGACCCGCACCCTCCTCCCCCTTAGAAGACCTTGACTCTTGGCAAGACCTCGCTAAGTTCTCCCACAGGGGAGGGCAATGGGCCGGGTCTCTTTCACTGAGGACACAGAATCTGCGGAAACTGCAACAGAAAGGATTCAGGTTGGATTTTTTAGGACACTCATCACGAGACCATGAACTGTGTGTGAGGCACAGGAATGGAGGAATGAGGTTAACTATCTTCTAGAGAGAGAAATTTCCATTTATCTGGGGCAGCAGAAGGCTGAGATGACCTCTGGCCCCAAAACTTGACACTTAAAGGAAACAGACCCCATCTTGCCATTTCCCCTCCCTCTGAGATGAAGGCTCTGGGAGCAGATACCCACTCCCATGCACATCCTGTTCGAATCCTTGATTGCCTTTGGGTTTCAGCGGGCCCCCACCCCCACCCCTGCTGCCTTCAGCCTTCAACCCAAATGGCACAAACTGCAGAGACAGTAGAGAGACGCCTAGGAGAAGTGGAGCATATAGACCCCAGCCCTTGCCCATCACCAGGGAAAGCATCAGAGCAGGCAGCGTTTCCAGCTGCTTAAAGCCTGGACCCCTGGCCACTTGCGTGGGCTGGGGGAGGGCCCCCGGCAGGCTCCCAGAGAAGAATCTGGTATTTCCTGTGGGACAGCTTATTCCTGACCTCCAGCAGGAACGCATTTCCCAGCCTGTTTTTGTGAGAAGCCTCAGCCTGGTGGGGAATTTTGAGAGGGAGGTGAGGGGGATGGGAGCGGTTACCACAGAGCCAGGAATCCAATGCATGGCTCAGCTAAACTGTCCCTGGGAGAGCCTCTCCCAGGCATGGGGTCTGAGATCCCCACCTGGCTCCTTTCCCCAGTGTGTGGGGTATGGAGAGGATGGGGTGTGCACGGTGGACGGCGGGGCCCGAAGCCTTGGAGACTCTGCTGCTCCCAGGCTGCCTCAGTCGGCAGGGCCTGGCTCCTGGCGTGTCTGGGCAGAGCGACAAGTTCCAAGTCCCCTCCTCAGGGACAGTGCCCTCGTGTCACTCCTGAGCACGCCTAAAGCCATAGATGGGCCTCTTCTGAGCTCATCTGAACCATAACAGGTCTGTCCAGACCATTGCTGAAAGCAGTGCCTGTCTCCCACGCTGGCTCTGGAGGGCAGTGACTATAGCTATTATGAATGTTTCCTGGGCCTGGAATGCAGTCACAGTAACAAAAATATTTGTCCTACTGAGCAGGTGACCTGATAAGATTTATGCAAAAGAAAGTCACAAACAGCAGAAACTGGTTTGGCTCAGTGGATAGAGCGTCAGTTTGCGGACTGAAAGGTCCCAGGTTCGAGGGCATGTACCTAGGTTGCGGGCACATCCCTAGTGGAGGGTGTGCAAGAGGCAGCTGATGGATGATTCTCTCTCATCGATGTTTTTAACTCTATCTCTCTCTCTTCCTGTCTGTAAAAAAAATCAATAAAATATATATATATAAAAGAAAGCCGCAAACATTTAATCAAATATAACCTACCTTATCCATAATAATAAAAGTGTAATATGCAAATCGACTGAACCCCGAACAGTAGAATGACCATCTGGATGACCTTCTGTATGACCATGCTATGACATGCACTGGTGCCAGGCCAGCCAAGGCTGGTGCGTTGCGATTGGTGGGGGCCCACCAACTCCCCACAATGGCCCCCGCAGAGGGAGGTCCAGGCCACTGGCCAGCAGGATGATCAATCTTGGGGGGTGGGAGGGCTCTGTGATCACTCCAAAGAAGGAGGCCCAGGCCACCCTCTGTGGGATGATCGATGCGGGTGGAGGTGGGGAAGGGCTCTGTGGAACCAGGGAAGGGGGGTGCGGTATGGTGGCAGATGCAGGCAGAGCCAGGACAAGTGGGGGTGGGGCCGTGAGGCAGCTGGACCACAAGGGCATTGGCAGCGAAGGCCTACCCTTGCAAGAATTTTGTGCATTGGGCCTCTAGAAAAAGATAATATACAGACATATCTTGCTTCATTGTGCCTCACAGGTATTGAGGGTTTTTTTTTGTTTTGTTTTGTTTTTTAACAACCTGAAGGTAAGATTCTTCACCAGCAAAAAGATTACAACTTGTTTTATTGCATTATGACTTGTTTTACTGCAGTGGTTTGGGACTAAACCCACAGAATTTCCAAGGTTTACCTGCAGTTTCTTAAAGGGGGGAAAAAAAACCCCTCCCAACTCAAAATTCACGAGTGGATTGTGCCTACAACGAAAAGGGCTAGAACAGTGCCTCACACACAGTAGGTAGTACATAAATCCTTTTGTAGAATGAACTTATAGAAGCTCTCAGAAAGCTTTTGCAAGATCTCACACGGAAAGCAATTTAAAAAAACGAATCACTGTTGACAACAGCAACAAAAATGAATCTTTGTCATTAGACTGGGAGAGATGTTTGCCAGGAAAGAAGCTGGCCCGGGGGCAGGAGCAAGGCAGAAGGAAGAAAGCCCCTCGGGAGCAGCACAGAGCCCCTCGGCTCCCTGGCCTCCCACCCCATGGGCACGGAGGGCGGGCCCAGCATTGCACGTGAACACCAGGCACCTGCAGCGCTGGGAGATGCAGAAAGAGGGAGGACATCTCCATAGGTTCCTCTGAAAGGTAATGGGCTCCCACCGACTGGGCTGCTGTCACAACGCTGCTCTCCTGGTCACTGAATGGGGTTGACTTAATCCGGTTTCGGGGGGCCAGCAGACTACAAGTCCTGTTCAAGGTACAGGTTGGGAGAAGCCCCCTGAAACCTAGAAACAGAGTACCCACTAGCAGCTGGTGCCCAGACAGACATGAGGTAGGGGGAGGAGAGCAGAAGAGCCTCTGTGGCCAAAGGCTGGCCACACAGTCCCGGAAGGCACCCTGGAGGAAGTGGATCTTGACCTTAGAAGAGCAGACAGCACAGGGCTCCGTGCAGTGGGGCAAGAGTTCCAAGTCCGGAGGCGGGGGCCAGAGGGTGTTGTGGGGTGGGAAGGGCCTGGAGACCCGCAGAGCCGCCCCTTCCATCTTCTCCTACGAACCACCTCAAACCACAGCTTCCCATAGCCCCTGATGCCTCCACTGTGACCCAGACACTGACGCTCAGCGGTCTGCCACTCCTTCCTCTTCTCTACCCCTCTACCCCCACCCTTCCCAGCCACAGGCTCTGTGAATTCTGTCCTGGCTTCTTCAACAGGTTACTTCCTGTCTGGGCCCATGTCTACCTTGTTAGCTCAGGCTCACCACCTTCCTCCCTGTCCTCTGCAGCAGGCCCCTCATGTGGAGTCAATCAAACCCCCTGAACCCCAGCGTGGTGTGCATTGCTCCTCATTCAAAACCCTTTCCTGGCTCCCTCTTGCCTTTGGAACAGAGCCCTCAGCACGGCACAGGGTGGAAGGAGGCCATGCCTTCCTCTACAGCCCCAACTGCACTGTGGGCAGGCCTCTGCTCACTGCTGCTGTGCCCCTACCTGGGAAACCCACACCTTCCCTCTTCCGGGCTGGGAGTCCTGGCCCACCTTCACGGCTCCTTTCGAGGCCCAGCTCTCTCACCACCAGGGCCCCAGCACTCAGCTCCCCCTCCTCCTGCTCCCAGAAGCAGGCGCACACGTTCTCTCTTTCTATCGACAGCAGGTCCACAAACAGCTCTCTGAGGGACCTACCCTGTGCAGTGGGGCCTGCTGACGTGGTCGCTGAGCTCTAAGGTAGTCTCCCTCCTGGGCCCCTGTTTAGCCCAGGATCTCGAATACCTGGAGAGGGAAGCTCTGAAGAAGGAATGGGGGACGGAAAGAAAGTGGGACTGATGTTTTGAGGCCAGACATTCTCTCTCTGTGGCAAGATAAGCAGGCCTGTTTCAGGGCCTGCTTCCTCCACTGCAGTGAAGCTACCAGAAATCAGGCAAGCCTGAGGGCACCACCAGTCTTTTGACCACAGTGCTGAGGAGAAGCCATTAGCATTTTTCCTGATGGACAATTCCCTGGGTGAGCTGATGGATCAGGAAGGGTTTCTCAGCTGCACCAGCATGCTGACGTGTCAACAAGAATTAACTTAGAGGTAACATGTCACAGTGGTCTAGGCCTTGGGACTACCTGCACTCAAACCCCAGCCCTGTTACTAACGAGCTGTGCACCCCTGAGCAAGGTGCTTAGCGTCGCTGCTGGCCGGGCAGTGTGGTAGCTGTGAGGATGCAATGAGTGAAAAGTGTCAGATGTCTGGGACAGTGCCGAGCACATAGTGTTCAATATATGCCAGCTATTCTTACTTTTCCAAGGAGAATTGCAAATACTTAAAATATTTTTAAAAATTGGACTCAAGGCTGTCTGCATAATCCCCTCCCACCCCCTTCCCAGTCTCTCTCTCTCTCTCTCTCTCTCTCTCTCTCTCTCTCTCTCTCTCTCTCTCTCTCTCTTTCTCTCTCTCCTCTTTTTGTGCTGGCCTTCTTTTCCTTTCTTTAGTTCAGCCGGGTGGATTGTTTATCTGTGGCCGCTGGTGCCTCTGCAGGCTCCAGGCGCACAGCTTTGTGCCTTGCCTTCAGCTGGCCGCACATCCTTCTCCTGAGGGTATGCTGCCATGGGCATCACATGGAACAAGCCTGTTTGGCACTCATGTCCCAAGGGTGGCAGCTGCCCACCCTCCCTGCTGCCCAGAGAGATGACCACAGGGAAAGGCTCCTGATCAAAGTTCTGGATCAGTTTTACCAAAGACTTTCTAAATGAGAGGGGCCCACGGGGGTGACAGGGACATCTCACCACAGCCATCCTCATGCCGCTGATGTGTGCAGGCTGACCTGGCAAAGGCAGGGGTGGAGGAGGTGACTTCTGGAGGCCCCTCCCAATAGGCCCATAGGCATGTGAATGAGGTATCCTGTCTACACATCAGCAGAAAATTCTCTCTCCTGGCCCATTCCCCCTTTACTACTTCAGCATGGGGATTCAAAATGCACCGGGGTTCCAGATCTGCTGTCTGAGATGCAGCGTGAAGAGAGAAGCTTTGTCGTGAGCTGAGAGGGGCCACTCCACTGCCCTCTTCGAGTGCTTCGCTCTGGGTTTGGGAGGGAGGCAGGAAGCAGAATCAGGGGTCAGGGAGGCCTCAGATGGAGAGCCTGTCGGAGGACAGGAGGAGAGCAGCACAGTGCAGTGGGGGGAATGTTCCTGACATCTCAGCTGCTCTGCATTTGACAGGACCTGTCATCTTGGGCCTCCGCGGTGGCAGCGCTCTGCCCCTCCAGGTAAAAGGTCACTTCCGGAAGCTTTGTACCCTGCCCCAGCAGAGCCACCGCGCAGGCCGGACCCTGTTCTGGCGCTGGCCACCAGAGTCGGGTGTGGGAAGTCTGCTGGTCTTGGAGCTCCCTCCCAGGTTTGGGATTTACAAAAACATTTCAAACCAAATCGAGGGTCCGGGGAAAATACCTTCATCACTCCCATCACTTCTTTAGAACTCCAGACCCTGAAAGGACCCAGATGGCAAGACTTAGAGCCCCCCCTTCTCCTCCCCACCACTCAAGAATGTGAAATAGCAGCAAACAAAAGTCTCATCCAAATTAGGAAGCGAGCAGCTCTGTCTGCCGGTGAGCGTGTGCCATAGGGGATGCTTGGAGTTCTGGGCTCCCGCACAGGTCCCCTCAAACCCACAATGTTATCAAGACTTCAGTTGTTGACCCTAAATCAGTCCTGAGCCATCCCATCACTGCACACCCTTCCCCAAACCCAAAATGCTGCTGCAAAGGCAACTGTGAGCTCAGAGCCCCTGGAGGGCACCAGCCCCTGTGCCTCTATCTTCAAGCCTGTGGACAGAGCCTTCTCCCAGCAAGAGCTGGGGGGCATTCGTACAGGTCCCCATGTCTGAGGTGCTGCTGCTGGGGTGCTGGGAGAGGGCTCTGCTGGACAGAGGCCGAGACGCGGGCGTGCACCGGAGAACCAGACTCTCACCCACACCATCCACAGACCCTGAGTGGGGCACCTGTCCTGTGACCGAGGGGGACACAGAGGCTCTGGGCTATGAGTGCCGATCAGTAAGGCCACGGCTCCATGAGCTGGCAGCGATCAAAAGCCCCTTCCTCCCCAGCCCTGCCCTCGTTACCTTCTTGGGAGAGGATGATGAACTTGGTAGTCTTGAGTGTCTTCCCATTCAGCGTCCAGGTGACGGTGGCCGGGGGGTCAGCGGACACCTGGCACTGGAGCAGCAGCTTCTCGCCCTCGGCCACGTGGACATCGCGCAGCTTCTCCGTGAAGGTCGGGGCAGTCCCTTGGCTCTCTGACCTTTGTTCCTTGTCTGTGCCTCCTGGATGCCCCCTCTTGCAGTTCACATCGTTCTTAACCTCCTTCTTGAGTTCTTCTTTCCCAGCTGGTTTTGGGATCTCAACTGGCTTGGCGTTGTCCAGGGGCTTGGGGGTTTCCACTGGCTTGGCATTGCTTATAGGTTTCAGGGTCTCAGCAGGCTTGACATTTCCCAGGGGTTTCGGGGTCTCGGCTGGTTTGGCGTTGCCCAGGGGTTTCGGGGTCTCGGCTGGTTTGGCGTTGCCCAGGGGTTTTGGGATCTCAGCTGGTTTGGCATTGCCCACAGGTTTCAGAGTCTCAGCAGGCTTGGCATTGCCTATGGGTTTCGGGGTCTCAGCAGGCTTGGCATTGCCTATGGGTTTCGGGGTCTCAGCAGGCTTGGCATTGCCCACAGGTTTCAGGGGCGCTGAAGGCTGGGCATTGCCCACAGCCTTGGGACTTTCTGCCACCTTGGCATTCAAGGCCTCAGCACCGCTGCTCCCATTCTCTGCTGGTAATTTTTTCTTGCTGCCCAGCACCGAGCGGAAATCCGGGGTGGCAGATTTTGCAGGTGGCGCTTTCTCAGGCACTGGGGCCTTGGGAGTCCCCTTCTTGGCCAAGACAGAGCGGAAGTCAACCTGCTGGGGACTGTGCACCTTCCTCTCCTCCTCGGACACGGTCTTCGGCTTCACTTGCCGCTGCAGGTTGGCGCGGAAATCCATCTGCTCGGCTGGGATCTCCTTCAGGTCCTCCTCCGACACGGTCTTGGTGCTCACCTTCTTCCCCAGGAGGTCACGGAAGTCCAGCTGCTCCACCTCCTGCTGGCGGATGGCCTCCTCCGTGTGCTGCCGGGTCTCCACGCGCCTCTTCAGCACCCCCCGCACGCCTTCGCCGTCCTCCTCCTCCTCTGGCCAACCCTGCCCTCTTGCTGGCCAGCCGGGCCTCAGGGTCCCATAGCAGTCACCATCACCACCATCCGCACCGACTCCTCGGCCGCAGAGGCCCTCGCAGCTGGCAGGCTCCCTCCCCCTGCAACCAGTGAGGGAAAAAGGAAAGTAGCAGGAGGAAAAGGGGCCGGGTGAAAAAGACACGTCAGGGGAGAGCAAATCCCTGAGGGAGGCAGGGTAAAGGGGAGGGGAAGGAATGGTGGGGGCTGGCCAGGCTGTGTTTATAGAAGGGAACATTGGTGAGAGGAGCCTGCTTGCTTGCTTAGTTGGTTTGCTACATCGGTAATGACTTCAGTAGCCTTATAAGGGTGTGTGCAAAAAAAAAAAAAAAGAAAAAAAGAAAAAAAGAAATTCACCCCCTCCCTGCGCTCCCTCCCTCATTCGCCTTCCAATCGCTCCTTCTTGGCTTGGGCAGGCTCAGACCGAGGACACAAACAATCTGGGACTGTTGGGCTGGGCCTGCGGGGGCCAGGAGGAAGGTGCGTGGGCGGTGGCATGGGGCCTGGCCAGCCAGCTCCTGGGGGGCACTCACCGCAGGGGGGCTCGGGTCGTGCTGCTCTGTAGCATCAGTGACACTTGGCAACTGCATTCGCCAACCCGGTTCCTAAGGAATTCAAGGGGTCAGTACAGACCAAGAGGCTCTCAGCTGAGGGCCTTCTCAGTTGGGCTGTGATGAGGAGGGCGGGCAGGACCGGACCCTAGGCTGGCTGCTGGCTCCAGGAAAGATGGGACCACAGGCTTAGCTGTGACCCCAATGGGCCAACCCCAGCCCTAGACTTCGGGCAGGGCCCTACACCCCCTCTCCTTGGCTCACCCTTTATTTTCCCAGCTCTTGTTTAAAAAGGAAAAAAACAACAAAAACAAACCAGAATCTTTTGGACAACAGCTAAGATAAGCAACCAGAAGTAGCAATACTTTTCCGTAAGTATATTACAAAAGTCATTCAATCAATAGATCACTCAATCAATAAAAGGAGGGTAAAGACTAAACCAGTGGTCGGCAAACTGCGGCTTGCGAGCCACATGCGGCTCTTTGGCCCCTTGAGTGTGGCTCTCCCACAAAATACCAAGAGGCCTGGGCGAGTCTATTTTGAAGAAGTGGCGTTAGAAGAAGTTTAAGTTTAAAAAATTTGGCTCTCAAAAGAAATTTCAATCGTTGTCCTGTTGATATTTGGCTCTGCTGACTGATGGGTTTGCCGACCACTGGGCTAAACTAATGGGGGCTGTGATGGAGCTGCTTGGTCTAGAGCAGCGGTTGCCAACCTTCCGGACCTCATTGAACACCGGTTGGCGACTGCTGGTCTAGAGTGTGTGGCCTTGGTCAGCCTGCCAGGGACCTTGAGTTGGACTCCGTGCTCCCTTAATATAGAGCTGGGTACTTCCCTCTCCTCTACAGTGCCCCCTCCCCACTCCGCTACTTCCCCTTCGCCTGCTCCTGAAATGAAAACACCTTCCGATCTGTACTCATTGGCCAATGCCCTCAGGTCAGAACTTTTTGTATTGAAACCTAGCAGATCGGAAGTCAACCTAATGGGTTGCTCATTCTCTTCTTCCCTCAGCTGGGGCTCTGGATTCTCCAGCCGCTAATAAAACTGTTCATCCTATCTGAGGCGGTGGGTGACCGGCTGAGGCTCCTTCTGCTCAGCAGAGGGGCTATTCCAAGCTTGTGTGCCTGGAGGACTTGGAAGCAGCAGCTCAGCCCGCCAGCCCCACAAGGCTGCCATCTGCTGGCCTTTCTGAGCTCTGACTAGCCAAGAGGCCCTCCCTGCTTGATGGTGGAAGGGATAGAGGCAGGTCTGAAAGCCAGAGGCAACTCTTCATGGCAATAAACACCCATTTTAATCAGCATCTTCCAGCTTTCCTGATTTTCGAATCTGTTCTCTTTCTTGTCCCCAAGCATCCCAGTGAGGCATAGAGAACCGTTATGTCCGTTTGAAAGGTAAGAAAAGAGGCTCAGGAGTTTCTGTGAGGCAGGGCTGGGGTTCTGGGGTATCCCACACATTCCACTGCACACAACCCTCTTACCAGCCCTTCAGCGGCTGAGCCTGCCTCACCTGCCAGCACAGATGTGCCAAGCTCTGCGACAGGTCCCTCACATAACCCATCTCACTTAGTATCATGACAACTCTGTGAGGCTGGGGTCAGAACCATTTTTATAGGTAGGAAAAATGAGGCTTATAATGGGGAAGTAATTTGCCTAAACCCACAGGGCTGACTAGCAGGCAAAGAGGCTGGGACATGGGTCTACCTAAATCCAAGACTTGTGACCTTCCTAGCCCAACTCTACAGTGCTCATCAGTACAAATCTATTCCGGGATATGTGTGCGTCTATGTGCATATGTGTAGGTTAGCCGCACACATAGGGTCGCATGTATGTGGCATCGACCTGGTGGGCATCTGCATCTGCAGGTCTGTGTTTGGAAACATGTGCCCATGCATCAGTCACCCCACATGAACAGACATCTGAACACAAGTTCACGGAGCTCTGCTGATGGATGTGGGTACCTTCTGCCTCATTTCCCTCCCCAGGGCGGGCCGATTATGGGTCAGACAGGGGCAGCCCATGGTATGGCAGAGGACTCTCAGGGCTGCTAGGGGTTGCTGCTCACTCCTCGGTACTAGAATCCATTTGAAAGAGGTTGATGTTTGCTGCCCCCTCCCTCCTCTTATCTGTTGAGTCCCCTCTGGGCCATCTTCCTCAAGGCTCAGGCTCTAGAGGGTGCAGACTCAAGGTTCAGGAAGCCTCATGTCTGGAGAGTTCGACAGCCCAGGGTGCTTCTTTGCTCAACAAAGAGCAACCCGGTGCCTCCCTGGTGCCAGGCCCTGGGAAGGCTCAGAGGCCCTCACAGCGCCCTGAACACTCAACACGGAAGCTACAGGACTTGGATCAACCTGAGGAATAATCATTTTCAGGGAGGCCCACCTCCTGGCAGGCTGCTGGCCAGAATCAGGCCATTCTTTTCCCACTTTTCTTTCAGGCACAGGGTTGGTGCCCTGAGTTGGTGGGAAGCAGGAGGACGGGATACCCAAGGCCCATGTTTCCTGGAAGCTCTTTTCAACATCTTCTTAACTGAGTTTGCTCTTGTCACAAGCAGAACGCAGGCCAGATGCAAAAACCAGGAGCAGACACTGACCAGATGGCCCTGCTCTTCCCCGGCCAAGCTCCTCAGAAGCTTTAAATGCACTGGAGTAAGCTCTGTCAGGGGACACAGGTAAGGGCTTCTGTTGTTTCCAATCCCTGCCCTCAAGGAGGGGAGCACAGGCAGCCTGCTGCTCAACCCATTCCCAGGCCTCATTCTGAGCCCCCAGGGCAGTCTGGGGGGCCGGTAGGGGGTGTACAACTTGGGATTCTTAAGGCTGGCCCATCAAGTGAATCATTCCTAGAGATGGCCTGAGGGTCACTATTTCTGCAGCTATCAATTTAAATCTCTGTAGGGCCTTGAAGGCAAATCGTGGTTCATTGAAAACCTGCAAAGACCAGAGAGGCCTGTTGCCTGGTACACACACCAGATCATCTCACAGATGGAACAGGCTTGGGGGCCATCTTTGGTATTATCATATACTCAGTTAGACGTATGTGCAGGGGCCAAGGATGAGACCTCTGCCCGGTGCCCAGCTCAGGGGGAGGATATGGGCCTATCACCCTGCAAGGGCAGAGCTCCTTTTGCTCCCCCCTCCCCACCCCCAAATAAGAAGTCCTCTCCTTGCTACAACGCCTTGGGGCCTGTCCTACTCTAAATCACCCACCTCCGGAATGGGTTTTTATAGGCAAAATTAGTTTAAAGGCTTGGTTTGTTAGGAAGCAAAAATCTTTTAAATAGTTCAGCTGGAATTTGGAACTAACTTTTTGACATTTCCCCTTTTCGCTCAGGAGAGAAAAGCTAGGGAAGGGAAGGGGGGCTAGAAACCACTCACCATATATACCCCCACCCCAGCACTCCACTCCCTTTTCCTCCCAGCCATCCAGTTCCTCCTTGAAAGGCATTCTGTCCTGGATTGAGGTCTGATTTCTGTCAGGATGAGAAAAGCGAGGGGGGAAGTGAGGCCTTGGCAGGCCTGGCACACATTCCCCAGGAGAACTTTCCACTGACTCGCTCCTTCTCAGCCAGGGACGGAGCCAAGGCCAGGGTACCAGCCTCCCCAAGGAACGAAAAGACTGGACTTTGGGGAGGGAAAGGGAGCAATGGCCACGGGGGTGGCGACTCCAGTGCGATTTCCCAGGTTCCCTAAGTCCCCAGTGCACTTGGAAGAAACCGGGAACAAAAGAGCATCTGATTCCGAGGCAGAGATCAGGGTTCTAATCTGGGCTCCGTACTGGCCTTTGGGTGGCCATGAGCAAGTCCGTGACCCCCGAGACCTCAGGTTCCCCCATTATTAAATGAGGAGGCGGCTAGCTAACTTCTGAAGTCCCTTCCAACTGGGACAGTCTGAGTTTTATGACTGTCCCCAGCTGGGCCCAGACAGTCTGCCTGCCGACCTCCCAGTGCAGCTCTCCGCGCTGGCCTGGCTGGCTTCCCACTGCCCTGCCTTGTCTTCCTGCCCTTTCTTGCTCAGCCGAGATCCAACAGGCCCTCAGCAGTCAGGCCTTTAGTTGCTAAGCCTCAGCCAGTTTTCCTCAAAAGGCCACCAAAACTCATCTCTTTTAGGATGCCTGGTTTGATTGACACGAGTAGGTGCCTCAAAGCACTACTCCTTCCATACAGATAAGCTCTGTTCTCACATATAAAGTTTCCATGATTTGTACTGACCTAGGAGAGAGAGGAAGAATGTGTCTCCTTCCTATTTTGGATGCAGATTTGCCTTCCTTAGAGTAATTGATTCAGGCACAGGCAAAGGCTGTTGGTGGGTTCTGGGCATACGGTAGCTAGCAGGGTGACTGGCCAGCCCACGACCATCTTACCAGCTGTCCACGGATGTGTCATTAGCTCGGTTGAGATTTGTTGAGACCTACCCAGCTCAGCAGAACTTCCTAGCAGATCCACAGACTGCCAAGACTTAAGAATGGCTACTTTTCAAAGCCTCTCAGTATTCAGATGGCTTGTTAGGCAGCAAAAGCCAATGGATACAAGTAGAAAGCGCATGAGCAGAAAGGACTCCAGAGCACATCCCAGGTGCTGCAATTATTATAGCGACAGTGCTCCATCCTGGCAGTAGCCGTGGCGTGCGGCTACCGAGCCTGTCTGTAGCTCAGAGCCTTAAACAGGATGAGCTCGGTACAGGGAAATGATTTATCCAGGAGATCAAGCCCTCTGACCAAGTGGCCGAGCCCCTGAGCCAGGCAGGTCTAAGCATCCCCGGGATGTGGCACCACCTCCTATTTACAGAGTCAAGGCGCAGACACGCGCTCTCCTGCAGTGCTCACACCAACCCGAGGGGCTGGCTTTCTGTCTCCGTCCACCCAGGGTTGGCATGGCACGTTACGAGTTAGAGCATTAAAAAAAGAGAAGAACATTTCTGGATCACATTCATTTACCAGGTAGTTTGCACATGCTGACTACGGGTCAGACATGGCCTAGGCGCCGGGAACATGGCAGTGTGCCCGCATGGAGCTTACCTTCCTGTGCAACCCAGGAAGACCTTGAAAGAGAGAATAAAGGAATGGGGAGAGGGAGAGTCCCTGCAGTGGTTTGAAAACGCCTATGACTTCTTTGATACTCCTCTCCCCAAAGGTGGAATTTATTCTCCTTCCCTTGAGTGTGATCTGTACTGAGCGACTCACTTCTCACCCATATAAAATGTGGCAGAAGTAGCGGTGTGAGACTCCTGAGGGTGGGCCATAAAAGACACTGCAGACTCCAGCTCATTCTCTCTTGGATCACTCTCCCTCTCCCTTCCTTGATCCCTAAACACCAATTTTTTTTTTTTATTAAATCTTTTTAAAAAGATGCTAAGTGTTGGGGCAATTTGTTACACAACAAGAGATAACTGATATACTCCCTCTACCTCCTGCTTTTCCAGTTTTAATCCATTCTTCCCTCCTTCATGTTCTCCATACAACAAGTAATGGGGAACAGAAGCCAGGACGTAGGAGGACAGAGGACTGTGGGGAGCACAGCCCCGCAGGGACGGTTGTCCATGGACGCCTGCTGTACTGAAGTGGAAGAAATGAAAGCTTGTCAGCGGCACCAAGTCTGCACTTCCTTCGCCTTGAAGCCCAGCCCTACACTGCTGTGTGCTTCCTCTGGCTTCCCAGCCCCGGGCGGGAGCGTGGAGGGTGTGTAGGAACGTGGGGGCGGGACCTGCGGACTCACTTGAGCAGGATCTCATACTGGCCGGCGTGCCGGGGCTGCACGTTCTTCAGGACCAGGGTGAACACGTCCTCGTTCTGCAGCACCTCGAAGTGGCCGGCGTCCTTGGAGAGGGCCTTGCCGTCGCGGAGCCAGTGCACGGTGGGGAAGGGGTCGCCGGCGATGGCACAGGAGATGAGGACGCTCTGGCCCAGGGAGGCTGTCACAGAGCGAGGCTTGCTGATGAACCAGGGCTGGGTGCCGTCCTGGGGCTCTGGAAGTTGACAAAGCGTTGAGTTAGAGAGGGAGGCTTTCAGCAGGGAGCGTCCACTCAGCTCCTCATGGGGGTGAAGGTAGGAAGACAACATGTTACCCAAATAACGGCTTGTCCAGAAATCACTTTTATTGGACATATAGATACAGCATCTTCTGCTTATGGCCAATCTGCGTTGGTTATATTCTCAGAGGATAATGGTAACATGAACTGTTAATCCCAAGCGAGGGGTGGTAGCCCAGGATGTGCATGGCACCGGGCTGGGCACCGATGACCCATGTTCGATGTGATGAGGAAGATTTGTACTTGCTTATGAACTTGTCTCTCCTCTCCCATGGAGGCTCTCTACAGGCGAGGACCTCAATAAGCCCGTAACTCACATCAAAAGCCATCACTGCCAACTTGTTACATGTATTATGTATGAGATTTCCCTCTTAGCGGCTGTCACCAGAAACCCAGAGAGGGCAGGGATTCAAGAGGCAAGGAAGAGCGGCCCTCCTCAGCCAGACCTGAGATGTAGGGTGAGGAGCTGGTCCCTGGGCTGGGAAGGGACCGAGGCAGCACGGGGTCCATGACGGGAACAAAGTAGGCTCACGTGGTTTCCTCGCCTCCAGATGGCTTTTGGAGAGACCTCGGCAGCACCCCTCTGCCCCTGCCCGGCACCTGGTCCGCCTCACCTTGCACAGTGAGCACAGCCTGGGTGCGGACCTCCCCACTGCTGTTCCAGGCCTCGCAGGTGTAAGTGCCCGTGTCCTCGGGGAACACCTCCTGGATGCACAGGCTGTGCCGGGTGCCCCTCTGTTCGAAGTGGAAGTCCTCTGACTCCTGGATCTCGTTCCCGTTGTGAAGCCAGATGACCTCAGGGGGCGGGTTCCCTGAACGGGAGGAAGGTAGGGGCCTGGTCAGCAGATGCTTTCCTAAGCCACCTGGCAACTCTGCACACAGTGCTGGGCGGATGCTAAGTACTTCACTAAACCACGCTCAGTTTCCTGCCCAGAAACCTTCTAACGCATCTACCTCCCAGGTTTCTCGGAGGATGAAGTGAGTGCACGCAGCCTCCTCCCAGCCCCCGGAGACAGCAGCTGGCACAGTGTGTGGCACGGGAAGTGTGCCATGCATGCTCGTAAGTATTTCACAACAGACTTGGGAAAGTAGGATGAACCCAGAGGTGCAAAAAAATTTGATTTCAAAGATGAAAAAGGAAACCAGGAAGAATGGTTTTTAAAACTAGAATTCAAGCTGAAACCGGTTTGGCTCAGTGTATGGTGCATCGGTCTGAGGACTGGAAGGTCCCAGGTTCGATTCCGGTCAAGGGCATGTACATTGGTTGTGGGCACATCCCCAGTGGGGGGCATGCAGGAGGCAGCTGGTCGATGTTTCTCTCTCATCGATGTTTCTAGCTCTCTATCCCTCTTCCTTCCTCTCTGTAAAAAAAATCACTAAAATATATATTTTTAAAAAGTTAAAAAATAAATAAATTAATTAATTAAATAAAACTAGAATTCAAACTGCCTGAGAGGCAAGTGGGTCGCTGGGTTTGAGGGGCCATGTTTCCGTCTGCGCTGACCCGCACTGCGCAGTTGGCGTGACTGTATGGTCACTCCCTCGCCGTCCTCACCGGAAGGGAAGCTCTGTGGCATCGTGACCATACCTCCACTACATCCACAAGCCATACCCACTAGCCAATCAGGAGTGAGTATGCAAATTAACCTGTTACCGTATACATGCTGTCTGAGGGGAGGATGGGCCCCAGCTCATACGGGATTTCTCAACAGGCCCATGAAGGACAGCGCTTTCAGACTTTATTAGTCTATCTTCCCGGGGTTTCCAGCAATTTGTTGAGGCAGAAAACAATGGCTGTCTGTGCTGGTTTCCTCTAGGATAAGAGCTGAGCCGCTCTGCTCTCCTGAGGAGGAGCAAGGCCGAGGCAGGCTGGGAGGCAGGCCGGGTGGTGTCAGGAGAACGGAGAGAGGGGACCACATCTGTCCCCGATGGGTTGGCTAGCACGTGTCTGGAGGCCGGGTGCATAGCGCCTCAGATTCCTGTCAGAGGAGTGCAGACAGGGGAGGGGACCCAGCCTTCCCCGGGGACTGACCCAGCAGGAGCAGGAGGCCATCTTCATTGCTTCTGCAGCTCAAGAGGAACTAAAAACCCAGGAGGGCTAAATGAAGTAAGTCAGACAGAGGAAAGCAAACACCACATGATTTCACTTATACGGAGAATCTAAAGAACAAAATAAAGAAACAAAATAGAAGCAGACTCAGAGACACAGAGAACAGACTGGTGGTTGCCAGAGGGGAAAGGGGTTGGGGGATTGGGTGAAAAAGGTGAAGAGATTAAGAAGTACAAATAGGCAATTACAAAACAGTCATGGTGAGCACAGTCTGGGCATAAAAAACGGCAGTGGGAATATTGTCTGTAACCCTACCTAATAAAAGAGTAATATACAAATTGACCATACCTCCACTAGCCATACCCACTAGCCAATCAGGAGTGAGTATGCAAATTAACCCAACTAAGATGGCTGCAGCCATGGAGCGAGCAAGAGGCTTGGGTTTCCCTGGTAATGAAGGAAGCCAGCCTAGGCCTCCACTCAAGGCTACAAAGTTTAAATTATAGAAGATAAATAAATCCCAGATACCAGGTCCTCCGCTTGGGTCACTGGGGTGTGTGGCTGGCCTGCAAACCACCACAGTTCCCTAGCCCAGGCCACCCTATGCCCCAAGGGATCCCCCACCCTGATCCAGGACACCCTTCAGGGCAAACCAGTTGGACCCCACCCATGCACCAGGCCTCTATCCTATCTAATAAAAGAGTAATATGCAGATTGACCATCACTCCAACACACAAGATGGCTCCCTCAATGTGGTCAAAGATCTTGCCCCCGTGTGGACACAAGATGGCCACCACAAGATGGCCAGCAGGGGAGGGCAGTTGGGAGGGACCAGGCCTGCAAGGGAGGACAGTTGGGGGCAATCAAGCCTGCAGGGGAGGGCAGTTAGGGGTAACCAGGCCTGCAGGAGAGGGCAGTTAGGGGCAAATAGGCTGGCAGGGGAGCAGTTAGGCATCAATCAGGCTGGCGGGAGAGAAGTTAGGGGGTGATTAGACTGGCAGGCGGAAGCAGTTAGGGGCAATCAGGAAGGCAGGCAAGCGAGCAGTTGGGAGCCAGCAGTCCTGGATTGTGAGAGGGATTCCCAGATTGGAGAGGGTGCAGGCGAGGCTGAGGGACATACCCCTCCCGTGCATGAATTTCACAGGCCTCTAGTATTGTAATAACTGTGTATGTTGCCAGGCGGGCACTGGAAATACTGGGGAGAGGCCCTGGTGAGGGATACGATTGTGTGACCAATGTGCTGCACACCTGGAACCAATGCAAACTAATACTGAATGGTAATAAAAAGGGATAACACACACAAATAAAATCCTTTTATAAAAGTATGCTTCCCATTTTCCCGGCAATCATGTGTGTTACGATGGAAAAGTAAATAAAAACCCAGGAGGGTGACCTCCAGGGTGTCACGGGACGGGGCAGTGGCCAGCACCGTCTATCCTGTGAAGGGAGACCTGGCTCCCAGGCTCCTCTGCTGCCTCCAGCAAGGGCTGCGACAGCTCACACGGGGCTAATCACCAGACCCGAGTTTAGAAAAATCTCACCTAAAATTTGAATAGAGCCACTGAGAGCATCTTCCAAGGGTTGGGAAGTCCTAACATCATCTGATTTAGCACCAGCGTTCAAAACCGCCCAGCTACACTGGGTTTTCACATAAACCCCATCACCCTCCAGCCATGGTCATGTCTTCCCCTGGACCATGTAACTTCCAACCAGGAGAACCCTGCCCAGAGAGAGGAAAGAGGTACCCAGAGGCTCTGAGTCGTTGGGCCCACAGTCTGATGGTCCCATGCCTGCTTCCTGGTAGACCAATAACCTGAGGAGACCTCAGGGAACAATGCCCTCCCCTTTTTGCCCGCTCCCCCTAAGGAAATAGATGCAGCGACAGACCTGACACTTGGACTGTCATGGTGACCTGGCTTCCATCCATGACCTTGAGGTCAGACAGGCCTTGCAGGAAACGGGGCGCAGCGGGCTTGCTGGGGGGCGTGGGCAGAAGGTACTCACTCTTGCCATTACTCTTCTTTTCTGTGTGGAGACAACAGACGTGGGATCAATATTCGTTCATTCACTTGACAAACACAGACTCAGTGGCCCCATGGCACAGGACTGCCAGGCTCCGGCTCCCCTGGAAATTGATCATGGGGAGAGGGGTGTGGGAGGCCCTGGACATCGCTGGGAACTAGGCGTGCCTGCTTCTCTGCCTGACGTGGCAGTGCTCTTGCCAGGCAGCAGGGAGAGAACAAGGCCCTGCAGGGCTGGGCCAATCCAGGTTCTGGTTCCTCAGGACAGTGGTCTGCAAACTACGGCTCGTGAGCACATGCAGCTCTTTGGCCCCTTGAGTGTGGCCCTTCCACAAAATACCATGTGTGGGTGCATGCATACAGTGCAACTGAAACTTTGTGGCCCATGCACAGAAGTCGGTTTTTGGCTCTCAAAAGAAATTTCAATCGTTGTACTGTTGATATTTGTCCCTATTGATTAATGAGCTTGCCGACTAATGAGCTTGCCGACCACTGCCTCAGGAGAACGGCACGGGGGAGAGAGGGGCCCAATACTTGGCATCTTTTATTTACTTTTTAAAACACAGGACACCCTCGTGTGGCACAAAAGGTACCAAAGGGTACATGCTACGTCTCCCTTCCATCCCGTCCCCCAGCCATCAAGTGTCTGTCTCCAGTTTTCAGTTTCTTGCTCATCTTACCAGAGGGGATCTGGGTGCGGAACACACACAAGCAAAAGCCACAATCTTTTCATTTAGTTTCTCCTATTTAAAAAATGGTAGCGCAGTACCCACAATGACTGGCATCTTGCTTTTTCACTTAGCAATGTATCGTGAGGTCTCTTGTAAGATAGAACTGAAGAGCTTCCTTCTTGTTTTCTGTGACTGCATGATGCTCCGTGCCCTGTCATGAGATGTTAAGCATCCACGAAAGCCAAAGTCATAACATGCATTGCAATGACTAAAACTGAAAAGACAGATCACTCTAAGCACTGCTGTGGTGGGGTGAGGAGCAACGGGGATCTCACAGAATGCTGTGAGGGAACACACGCTCTTTTGAAAGCAGTTTGGCAGTTTCTTAAGGAGGTAAACACACATTTACAATATGATCTGGTGATTCTACTCTTGGTTACTTATACAAGGGAAGTGGAAGCAGATATTTATTCAAAGACTTGTCCACAAACATCCATTGCAGCTTTATTGTTAATGCCTAAACTGAAGACAACCTATCGACAAGGGAACGAATGGACAAATGGTGATTTAACCATACAGCGGAATACTACTCAGCAAAAAGGAATGGATTCATGATAGACACTAGCACTACAAAGGGGACAGATCTCACAAAAATTACATTGAGTAAAGGGAACCAGACAAAGGAAGAGCACATACTGGATGATTCCACTTATATAAAATTCTAGGAAGTGTAAAATACAGCGACAAAAAATGGTTGGGGGAATGGACTATAAAGGGGCAGGAAGAAGCCTTTGGGGGTGATGGAGAGGTCATTTCTTAAAATTGTGGTGAAGGTTTTATAGGTGAAGGTTTCAAATTAAATAGCATAAATGTGTGTATAAAAGACAGAGAGAGAGAGAGAGAGAGAGAGAGAGAGAGAGAGAGAGAGAGAACACATCAGCTAGTCAAAGACATAAACTATAGAACAACTCTGGCTCAGGGCTGGCCACTCACCCCCATTCAGCTTTCTGGGGAGAAGGATTCACAGATAGATTTTCCATTCTTCTCGGAACTCTGCCCACGCTGGGCTTTAACCTGCCTCATGGGAGCCGAAGGGGCGAGGGCAGCAAAGGGGCTGCACTGGAGTCTACCTCCCACCCAGGACAGCTAGTGCACAGTGAGCTCACACTGCCGGTCTCTGATCTTGGCCTGCCTGCCGTGACCGTCCACAATTCTTTTTGTTAGTTTTTTTATGTTTGCCTTTCGGTAGGGTGGGGAAGGGGCAGAGAGGGCTATGAGACCTCTAACTCAGACGCTAAGCTTAGGGGAAAGGTCACACTGTTATGTTGGCTCCTTTGGGGCCAATACCAGGATCCCCAATTCCAGGCCTTCTCCAGGAAGCCGGCAGCCGTGGGATACATGTCCGGGCTGCTTCACATACTGGGGAAAGACCACTGAACTTTTATCTGTTGGCCCTGAAAACAAATACAGCCCATTGCAGGGCTCTCCCAGCCCCGCCTCTGGAAGTGAGGTGGGGAGGCCTAGGAGGCTGGAGGAAAATCCCCGTCAGGTGCCCTGTGAAGGGCATGGAGCTGAAGTGCAGGGCGGCCGAGGCAGGGAAACCCTGCAGCCCATGACCAGAGCACGGGCTCTCAGGCCCCTGCTCCCTGCGCCAGCCCGCTGCATTGCTGCCTTTGACCGAGGGGCAGCCAACGCTGCAGGCAGGGGGCCCGGGAGGGCTGGGGCCCAGCACTGGAGGTGCAGAGACCCCGCTGCTCGGACTGGGCGGCAGTGGCCAGGAAAGCGGGCTGCCTCGGGAGAGTTGAGGAATTTCCTGTCCTGCACAGACTGAAAGGCTTGAGGACAACATGTTTTCGCCTGTCCAGAGCCCTCCCCGTTCCCGCCTCTCTGCTCTCTGCCAGAGTCCCAGCCCCACGGAGCTCCAGGCAGATGCAGCCTTGTTCCTCAGTAACCCCCACTTCCACCCCCCACCCTGCCCAATCCTCTCTGGGGTCTTCCCTTCCCACTGCCCAGTGTCCTGACCTGGGCTTTGATAGCCTATGAGTCTCCGCCAATGGGAACGAGAAGCGTATCTGTGCCTCTTTCTCGTGAGAGGTGCCCCCAACCGCTCCCCAAATCACCACGGGGCAGCTCACTGGAAGCCCCAGGAAATCTAGGGTCTGAGGCTGCGTCATGACCTCAGGCAAAATCACAGCTTCTTTCTTTCTTTTCTTTTTTTTAAAAATTAATTTCTTTATTGATTAAGGTATCACATATTTGTCCTCAACCCTCCATTCCAATCCCCCACCCCCACCCCCACTTATGCCCCCACCCCCTTATTGTCCTTGACCACTGGTTAGGCTCATATGTGTGCACATAAGTCCTTTGGTTGATCTCTCCCTTTTATCCCCACCCTCCCTTTGAGGTCCAACAGTCTGACCCACAGCTCCTTGTCTCTGGGTCTGTTCTTATTCATCATTCTATGTTGTTCATCATTTCCTCTCCACCACCTCTCTCTAAAGCTCAGTGTCCTCCTTTGCATATACAAGGGTAGTAATGGGGCAGCAAAGGCATCATCCCAGGACGTGGGGAGTTTCAGGGAAAACGTGAGAGTACTTTGCACGGCTACTCCCCATCCACGACAGCCCCTGTGTGAGGCTGGCCGGAGCGGACCCCCTCCTCAGCACTTAGGCCCAGTGGGCTTATCAGCAGCAGAACAAACAGAGGCTGGGCCCTCACCCAAGTCCTCGACTCACTTTGGTGCAACCTGAGGCAAATGCTGCGTAGGAATATAAATGCTGGTGTGAAATATCCCGAGATAGATCCAAAGTAAACCGAGAACAGGCCCTCCCTGCGCTCCCTCCAGGAGAGGGGTGGAGAGTGACTGGACTTGTGGGAACCGGCCCTGGGACAGGCTCTGAGCTCCAGGGTCGCCCCTGCCCTCTGACCCTGCTCTTCTTCTCCAAGGCCCCCCAGCAAGGACGGAGGAAGGAGGGATGTGACTGGGAGTAAAAGTGCAAAAGGAACCTGCTCTCAGACCTGCAGGTGGGGGTCACGTGGGCCTGGAGAGACTCTGAATCTAGGCTAGTGCATGGCTGAGTCACCCCCAGCACTCAGCCGCTTCCGAGTCTCCCCGGGCTGAGAAAACCAACCCACCTCCCTACGAACACATCTGCACTGGACCTGGGGGCCATGGCGGAGGGCAGGCAGCTCCCTTTCGGTGGTCGGGAAAGCAGCCCTGACAGAATCTGGACTCCTAGCAGAACCCCACCACGCGCTCCACTGACCGAGCGGCCAATATGTGCTTTGCGAGGTCACGGAGCCTGTTCAATAAGGTGACCAGACGTCCCGCTTTTGGAGGGACTGTCCCGCCAAAAGCTGAATGTCTGGTCACCTTACTGTTAGAGGTGACAGAGCTCACACCCAGGCCTCCCGACGGCGAGGCCCAGGGGTTCGGGGGACCTGTCCTCCCGGGGAGGTGTCTTCTCCCTCCCAAGGTGAACCCCCATGAGGACAAGTGCGTTTCCTGCAGACCCGAATCCTAGACCCTCCTCGAGGGAGAAGCGCTAAAGCAGAGCAGGGCCAAGCCAGGGGACAAGGACATCTAATTCCAAAGCCAACCAGGTGATTCTGGCTCCGCTGGGCCACAGACCGTGCACCAGCTTTTGCTCACTCCTGTGTGGACGCAGATCAAGTCAGGCAGGTGGACACCGGCTCTGAACTCAGCTCTGGGCCAAGGGGTTCCCAGCCCACGCCTCTGCGCCCTCTCCTCCAGAATGCTGGTGATAGTTATCATTCGTTATTAACGATAATACTATGGTGATAAGTGGACTGTACACAACATCGGTTTCATGCATGATCAATACTGCCGGGTTTTTATTTATTTTTTTTTATTTTAAAATATATGTTATTGATTTTTTACAGAGAGGATTTTTTATAGAGAGTTAGGAACATCGATGAGACAGAAACATCGACCAGCTGCCTCCTACGAACCCCAAGGTACATGCCCCCGACTGGAATCGAACCTTGGGACCTTTCAGTCTGCAGGCGGACGCTCTATCCACTGAGCCAAACTGGTTTTGGCCTGCCAGGTTTTTAGATGATTCAAAGAAATAATATATAAAACTGCTAGAACAAATATTGGGCAGGGAATAAGGATAAAATTAAATGCTTTGTGCCTTTTATAACCCGCCTTAGTTGGGCAAACTCAAACTGACAACCACTAGGAGAGAAGTCCCCATTTACGTTGAATGAGGCAGAGTCTGAAAGGGTGCTGACAGCGGTCACTGAGATAACACTTACAACGTTCAGCACTTCATGATGCTGAAGGATGTTCATGATTCTGTTGAATGTC